AGGGTGTGGTGGAGCCTGTTTTGAGTTATTCTTCACGTTTTTCACAATTCCTTCGCCGTTTTCACATTGGTCTCGATTAATGGACCTGCATTCTCAGTACTCCATATATGCGTGAAGCATGATGCTCAAGTCTGTGATGTTGGCTTATAATTTATTACCTACCTCATGTTCTTTAATTTTTTTTTGACTTGGGGCCATTTGCTACTTTCAGAGACAGCCAAGAAATTGCGGAAGCCCAAGGCCTGGAAGCATACACAACCAATAACTAAGACAGAGCTTATACAGATGCGTGATGAGTTTTGGGATACAGCTCCTCATTATGGTGGCCAGAAAGGTGCTTCTTTCAATGATTGAGTTCACTAGTCATTCTTAATAGCTTTTATTAAACCTTTTTTTAAAATATATGGATCATGGAATATAAACCAGACACTAGAACAATACTAGGCGTTCATAGACTCATAGGTTGACTCTAAATTTTTTCCACTATTTTTTTTATGATTCAGATAAAATAATTCATAATGGAATATATGAAACTCTCCAATGTGGCTATTCATGATACTGATGACAAGCTTTGTTGCCAGCTATACTTTAAGCATTGTTCCATGTATCACAAAATTTTTGTTTCAGTATTCACTAATTAGCATTATCGGAGGGGTTTTGTGCCATTGCTGAACAACTTGGTCTTATCTCATGTTTCTTGTCTACATAAACTATATAATACTCTCAGTTTTATTTCAAAATGAGGAATAAATACAAATAAAAGTGAAGACATTTTAATTGTTTTGGGCAATATTTGAGATAACTTGGATTTCAAAGGGTATAAAGTGAAGATTTGAGGAGGGGTATATAAAAAAAAGAAGAGTTGAGTAGACTGGAATGGGTGACATCCTCATAGGTCATCATGTTGCACGCTCCTTTTCCCGAAAATTTGAGAGAATGGCTTTGTTGTTATTGTTGTTGTTTATATCTTAAAAATCTGTTTATATCTTAAATACCTTTTAAGAGTTCTGGATTCTTTTCTCAAAATTTGCCTCATGATGAAATGATTTTGTTTGGAACTTTATGATTATGCCTATATTGCTAAAACCACTTACAATCTCATCTCTGGTGGGCTAACAAGGCATATGAACCCCATGGGGCGTTGAGGCATATGGAAAGGCCTCCCGGTGAATTTAGTAATTGATGATGTATATTCGTTTCATAATGTTTGAAAAAACTTTAGGAGTGAAGGATAATTGCTTTGAAGCTTAAAAGAGAAACAATTTGTCTCTAGAAGCACGTGCCTCATCACTCGAAGCATATGTGAATTGCGCCCCCCTGATGATGTATATTCATTTCATAATGTTTGAAAAACCTTTAGGGGTGAAGGATAATTGCTTTGAAGCTTAAAAGAGAAACAATTTGTCTCTAGAAGCACGTGCCTCATTGCTCGCCTCCATGAAGCGCCTCTCTTTCAAAGCACACACTTCAGACGAGATAGGAGGGTTAATTTTTTTTAAAAATAAAATTAAAGCCCTTAACACTCCTCTTTCTTTTCCGGTCTGATTTTTCCTTTTCTTATTGAAATAAAAAATCAAAAGAAATTATCTTATCTGATTCTATCGTAATCTGCTTCTCATGAATCTATTGCTCTTATGAGTTCCAGAATTTCTGTTAATTATATTTTTCCCAACAATTCTAAATTTTACGTTGATTTCTTGTTTATGTGTAGTTGGATGGGTTTTGAAGTCATTTCTAGTATTTGATCTTTTCTCTTTTGTCAGTGGTACCTTTTACTTGTTCAGTTGTCTCTAGATTTTTGATCCCATTCAGTAGCTGAGCTCGGTTTTTTAGTAAGAAACTGGAGCTCTAGGCTACATGTCGTCATTTGTGAATATAAGTAAGATATATTTTTCTATATATCTACCTTAGTTTATTGTGAATTGCGTCTATGTTTACCTTATTTCATTCTTATTTATTGTTTAAGATTTAAATGTATTTCTCAATTACTATATACTATATGCTTATAATATTTATAAATATGAAAACATAATCCATTTATGAGGCTTACCCCTCACACCTTGAAGCTTACACCTCACATTATGAAAGGGTCCTACACTTTGCTCTGTGCTTCCGTCTTTTTAAACATTGATTTATTGTTGAAACAAACCAATGCCATTGGGAGCTATTGGGAAGAGAAGGAAGCCTGAGATAGCAACGGGATAAAACTTTTTATACAGAGGGTAGGTTGTGTAGAAAGCATTAAGTGTATTATGAAGGAATAATTTTTAGGAAAAATAGTGTATTTGATGCATTAATAACCAATAAGTGGATATCAATACTAGAGAGTGAGCATCAGCGTAGCCCCTTGTGCAAGAGGTGTGAGGTTCGAAGCATGTGTGCGTCAACGCGGACTATATTACAGATTATTTATAAAGAAACTAAAAAACCATAATCTAGTGGAAACAAATAAATTCTTAACAACAAATCAAATCTAAAGAAACATGAAAGAAAACTAACTGAATATCTAAACCATGTACCAACTAAATTATCCTAACTGTAATGAGATGGAACAAAATCCTTACTAATTTCTCATATGGAATCCTTTCAAATTTCATCAGCTGTCCTGCATCATTAATTATTGGAATGAACATCTAACAAAATTCATGATGAGGTTTCTACGTATTTATACAATGAAGTGACTGAAGTGGAGATCCTACATCCACTTTACATGTTTAATATCAGCCAGAGTAGGCGATTTGACTTGGCGCACTAAGTGTGGACTTGCCAAGAGATCTCATTGTGCTTGGACTGGATGTTAGGAAGTCGAAGAATAAATACCTCCTCCTTCTCTATGTGAGTCCTTATCGATGACCACTAGTGATGGAGCACAGTTATTATACACTTAGAGACATTGGACTATTTGGGAAGGCTGTTATGACCATTTGCTACTTTTGTTGGCACACTAAGTGTGGACTTGTCAAGAGATCTCATTGTGCTTGGACTGGACGTAAGGAAGTCGAAGAATAAATACCTCCTCCTTCGCTATGTGAGTCCTTATCGATGACCACTAGTGATGGAGCACAGTTATTATACACTTAGAGACATTGGACTATTTGGGAAGGCTGTTATGACCATTTGCTACTTTTGTTGTTGTCTCCTGCTAAGATGAGATAATGTCGCACATATGAGGCAGCGTTAGGAAGGTGTGTGATTAACTTGCCCAAGTATTCAACTCTAGAGGAAAATCGATTGACATATCTTTGGATTACATTGCCGGACCGGCTCTTATTTATATCGTGGACAATATATAAGTGTGTGGTAAATGAAGGGTAGACCCGGTTGTTCATGTACGCTTCTTTGAGGGAAGATACTTGAGCGGATGTGTGTGATCAAATCTAGGATACTAGATACCACATGCTTACACTTTTTATCTGTGTTATTTATTTTCAGGGAGATCGTTGTGTTGTTCCTGACGGATCTGCTTGTAATGCTACATGTTTGCAGGTTCTCAACAGACCATCTCGCAATATCAATGTATTAACAGTTTGCAGGTTCTCAACGGACCATCGCGCAATATCAATGTATTAACATAGATTTGATAAAAGAGGTTTTCAGGGAAATTTTACTAAGGGACATTTTGACCAGGGAGTCAACAACTAAGGGAGTGGGCTCAGGGGGGCTATAGGCGACACTCACTAATTTGTGCGAGTGGGGGTAAATTATGTATGGATGAGCTTTTCTAAAGGAGTGGGCAGATGATGTATTCCCATCCAAACACTACTATTCTATTAGGGATAAGAATTCTAGTTGGATTAGTATGTGTGTGTGTGTGTGTCGAAACATGTAGGGAATAGAAGAACACAGTGAATAATATAGAAAAGTTGCCATCTTTCTGCCTCAAATTTGGTGTTTTAGGTTATAGTTACATGGTGATTAGGTGGAATCTTTTCACTTTGCGGTGTGATCGCTTTCCGACTATTGATTCAAAGGCAAAAGTGCATGATTATTTTACAGACGATCAGGATATATAATCTCTAAAACAAAGATTTACAATTTACAGTTTAGAGTTAACATTGGTCATCGATAAGGGCTCATAGTGAGGGAGAAAAAATTCATCCCTCGACTTCCTTATATCCAGTCCAAGAAGAATGTTGCATTAGGAGGGAAAGGGAGAAATATAGATGTCATCTGTAGAGGGAAAAGTATTGAAGGCGAACAACAGAAACATGAGGAGGAACCTAATAGATCTATTTAATTGAATGTAAATGAAATAACGAGAACCTCCAGAAGAATTGAGGTGTTGAGAACTAGAAGAAGATGAATAAAACCAGTAATTGCTAACATTTTACTAAAGCTTTGATGACTAATATTGATATTAAAGTGAGAATTTAAATAGTATAGACTAAGTTTTTTGTACCACAATTAAGAATACCCACTTGATCCTACTATGAACGAACTGTTCTGTGAGTAGATTTGACACAAACTATCAGTGCCTGCAGAATTTTAGTCTTATCCTTCAATGTTATCTGTTACCTGATCTTTATGCTCTTCCATTGGGTATTACTATTCATGCATGAGTGAATTCTTGCTTGAAATGCATATTCTATTCTCGGATGGATCTATGGTTCCCCAGTGACTGCCTCCTCCTTTTTTGCTTTAGGTTGCAAATAGGGATTTTGATCCTCTTTACTAGTAGAAGTAGTGGAGAGAACACTGCTTTTCTTTTCACCATCGATTGATTAATGGAAGGTTGTGATTTATCTTGTTGAGTGTGAAATAGGCATGGGTGCAATTCATGGAGTGTGGCAAATGTTATTTTTGGAATGGATTACAATTGTCCATCACCATCCATTAAATAATCAACGGTTTGTATTAAAAGCAGTGGTCTTGACACTAATTTTTGGTAGTGGAGAGGATCTAAATCTTGCAAATATACTACCATGACTGGACCTTTGCTCTGTATTTGAGTAGTACCAGGGATTATCTACTCCTAGTTTCTTTGAAGTGTTTCTAATACTTGAAAGATCAGGAAGTTTTTTTTTTCCCGTTTATTTGATCAAGGGATGACTATGTACTCAATGCTCATTTATGCTTTGGCAGAGATTTGGGATGCACTCCGAGCTGCTGCAGAAGCTGATCTGAGCCTCGCACAAGCAATAGTGGACAGTGCGGGAGTCATTATTACAAGCACTGACTAGAAAATATTGTCTAGGAATTGAGAGGGCAACACCTCGTATATCAGCACAGTCACTATCAGTGTAAGCACCGGTGTATCAATGTAGTCACAGCTACAATGATAGACTGCACTGATGAGCGTATTTAATTCACCGATTAACATTAATGATACATGCATCAAGATTCGTGTGATATGCAAGGTGCCATCCTCTTTTTCGTCCTAAATAATATTCTGTAATGGGATTTTCTTGAGAAATTTGGGCTCTTCCTTATTTATCATTTAAAGCGATTTAACTCTCTTTGGTTGTGAACTTCATTGCAGGTGCTAAATACGAATTACCGAAGTACGTCTTGAGCGAGCCAACCAATTTGATTCGAGACAGCTGACCTCAAAGCCCTAAAGCATTGGGGGGGAAAAACATTGACGTAAATAATGTAAATCAGTAAATTACTTTCATTTCCCCTTTTTTTAACCGTAAGTTAAGCTTTGGGTTTGGGTTTCTTCTGATAGGGAACTTAAACTTTTCTAAATTATCAAAGTCTCACATGTCACCAATTGTTATCAGTTAATTTATTTTTAAGTGAAGAAGCCCCTTGGATCTAATTTTTTTCTTTGTTTTCTTTCTTTGGAAGGTGAAAACGTGTAATTTTACAATTTGATTTCTATCCGTTTGACCCCAGTTATTATTGCTTTACAATATAAAGATAGCATTGTTTTTGTGAAGCCAAGTTCATTGTGTTTGCCATATTATTTGTAGTTCTCGTACTGCTATTTATGATATACTTTCGATGACGGTGATGGTTAATTTACCAAGCCATATTTAGCCATTGATATAACGATACGCGAAGGGGTGCTGGATAAGTTGAATTGGGAGCATAGATAATTGTCTTCAACAAATATTAAAGGCACATGTTTACTCCAGAAAATTAAATAGATAAAATAAAAGTAAAGGTATATCAAAGCTAGGAGGTTCTTGAGTAGCCCTATTTATTGTCCTTTATGTAAATACAAATTATAACGCAAATACCAATTATCCCCCCCACCATACACCCTAAATAAAAGAGTTAGGACTTGGATCTCTTTTGTTGTAGGCATTAACAATTCAAACGTATTCGATTATTGCTCGCTGCGGTTGACTTGGATGGTTAGAAAGTTTCAATATGGTTTTCACGGTTCTGAGTTTAATTCAGGCCGGTTTATTTAAAAAAATATTAGTCAGTTGTTAGCTGTTTATCATTTAACGGATGGTGTTTTGATTTGTCTTGAGTGAAACGATACGAATACAAAAGATACGTGCTTGTGATGTCCAAATTCATTTCGCGCATAAAGAAGCCTGTTTTCAATTAATTAGAGACTCTGTAGCTATTATTGACTCATCGAAGCCTCAAAAGCTACCAAAAATCATGAATTATTCTTGCCAAGCGAGTTGTTATTTCCAGATGAGGGCATGAATCAGTGGGGGCCAAACTCATAATCTTTCCATTATTGTGGCTAGCCTAAAGACTAAAGACTCACAAGCAAACAAATATTGTTTGCTGGGGGGGACCAACACCCAACAAAGAAAACAAAAGCCAAAATAAGTTAGGATGTCGATCTGTGAGCCAAAGCTTTGTTGGTAGGATTGGAGTTATTCACTAATGTAGGTGCAAACGTGGCTCATTTCCATGTGAAGAATTTGTCCTTTTTGGGTCAAAAACCAGGATCGAATCGTTTAATATATTCATAGAGTTATAGAACATAGATATTAATGCCTCTCTTGGTGCGCGAGAATGAGTGGGAATGGAATGCAATTCCAACTATTTATTCATAGGTACCAAACACGATGTATTTTTAGATGCTAGAATTACTATTCACACTTCTTATCAATTCTCACTTTATATGAGAAGGCAAGAAATTGATATTCCCACTTAAGTTAATAATTAAATAATTTCTAATTGTACCCTCCTTAGAAGATACGAATAGATATAAATTTCCGTATGAAAAATTATTTTTATAGAAATAATATCATTAGCTGCTCGTACAAATATACAAGTAGATGTAAAATGTTAAAATACTATTTGCCCTAATTCCGAAGCGTTTGCAATAGAAAAAATCTCATCTTCGCCTCAATGCGACTCAGTTAGGTGACTATTATTTCTTTTTAAACTATGTATGTGTGGCTAATCTTTACCTAATCTTTACAACAAACTTTTATCTTTTGGCGACCCGGTTGCGTAATTTATTGGCAAATTAGGTTAGCAAATATTTATCTTTAGAAGTATGATTTGAAGTTCCATTGAAGCAAATATTTTATTTTTTTGGATGTTTTCTATTCCTAATCAATATTTTGAAAGTTAAAGGTTGTAAGGACCGTGAAATTTTGATATTAGTTAAAATAAATTTTTTATATTTTAAATATTTAATTATTATTTTTGAAAGAGTATTTATATTTTTCTCGAATTTCTAGATTTTTCTATGATTTGAAGTCTAAGTTTTATATTTATTTAAATGATTTAAATATTTATAAATTTATTTAGTGCATTAAATATTTCTGGAATTTATCCGTTGTGTTACCGATACTATTACGTATTATCATTTTGAATAATATTTGTATAATTTGTTGTATTATTTCTACTGTTGCATATTATCGGTCGTATTAGTACGACTAGTACGTTTTACTGTATAGATAATTATCCCATAATTATTTAATTTTAAATGTAAGTAAATATATTTTTATTATTAATTATTCTCGTTTAATTGTACAATATGTGTATATTTTGACTATTTCGTATCCACTGTTATATTAGCACAACATGTACATTTTTATTTGTACATAATTATTTCGTAATTAGTTTAATTTTTAAATACCCGTAATTATTTATTTAATTATTATTTTTTTGAACCCTAACCCTAACCCTAATATACTCCAAAGCCTCGGCCAGCTGTCGAGCAAGACGTTGACGTCGTCTTTGTCGTGCTCTCTTTGACACTGCGGGGGCGTCTTCAGAAGCCATCTCTTCGGCAGAAGAGGAGTCCGGATCTGCGATCTCGATCACGTTGGACGCGGGGACGTCACGTGGTGCAAGTGCAGAGGCGGCAACGGGGTCTTGGATTTTCGAGCCGAAGGACCTGCAAACATTTATGAAAGAGGTTACCTTTCTGTCTATGATTTGAAGTCTAAGTTTTATATTTATTTAAATGATTTAAATATTTATAAATTTATTTAGTGCATTAAATATTTCTGGAATTTATCCGTTGTGTTACCGATACTATTACGTATTATCATTTTGAATAATATTTGTATAATTTGTTGTATTATTTCTACTGTTGCATATTATCGGTCGTATTAGTACGACTAGTACGTTTTACTGTATAGATAATTATCCCATAATTATTTAATTTTAAATGTAAGTAAATATATTTTTATTATTAATTATTCTCGTTTAATTGTACAATATGTGTATATTTTGACTATTTCGTATCCACTGTTATATTAGCACAACATGTACATTTTTATTTGTACATAATTATTTCGTAATTAGTTTAATTTTTAAATACCCGTAATTATTTATTTAATTATTATTTTTTTGAACCCTAACCCTAACCCTAATATACCCTATATATTTATATATATATTTCGTTTCATTTCCTTTTTCTATTCACGTGAAACCGCGGCCTTCTTCATCCTCTCTCTCTCACGTTCTCTTTATCTTTCTCTTTTCTTCCCTCTATTTTTGACTACGCCAATTCCGCCAAACCCACTCGCTCACTTCTTTTGACAAAACTCACGCCCACGAGATACACGCTGAGCTCTTCCACCAACCCATGTCTCTCTCTCTCCTGTCTCCCTCACACTCTCTCCAATCATCTCTCTCTTTTATCTCTCAGCCAATCTCGTTCTCTCTCTCTATATATCTCTCTTCACACATTCTCAATCACTCTCTCGTTCTCTTTCTCTCTCTCACTCCAGCTCACTCTCTCTTTCTTAATCTCTCTCCTCATCTCTCTCTCTCTCTCTCTCTCGCTTCTTCGAATCCGCGTCCGCCAGATCCGTCGCCGTCCGAGCGCGCCGTGGCCCTGATCTCCGCCCTCTTCTATCCATCAGCCACCGTCGCCTCAACCCTGCTACCGAACCGCAGAGCCCGTGCCGTCGACGTCGAATCATTCGACGAACCCGAGGCAAGATCCCGATACTCCCTTGACTTGTCATTCAATTCTTAGATCTGTTCTGAATTAATTAGTTGCTTGCAAGATCTCGATCGCCTCTCCTTATTGTTGTTTCAATATTTTTATGTGTAGATTAGTTTGTGTTATAATTAATTGCGTGGGTTGTTTGGTGAATAATATTGATTTATATCATAGTTGTGTGATAAATAGTATTTTCAGAATAATGATAATGAAGTGAAAGAATTTATTTTGATAACGGAATCATTTTGGAGAATTTATATTATTTAAAAAGAATTTATTTTGAGAAAAAAAATTATTTTAGAATAATAATTGATGAGAAATAATTTTAAAGAATTTATTCTAGGAAAGAGAATATTTTGGATTATTATAATGAGAAATAATTTTTAAAAGAAATTATTTTGGGAAAGGAATTATTTTTTGAAGTACGTAGTTGCTGTTCATGATTACATTTTATGTTTTGTGAATATTTTACTATATTCGGCATGTCATGATGTGGTTGCGTGAAATTAATGTTATTATTATCTCGTTGTTGTGTTTGAGAACCTTGGTAGTTTATGATTAGAATGACCTGTGTGACGTGAGTAAGACCTAGAGACTCGTGTGTTGTTGACTTAGAAAAGCGAGAAGAGTTGGGATAGGGAAGTCCATGTTCATGCTATCGGATATGTTGTTGTTTATTTTTAGGCTCGCACCAGTGAATCGTTTCGCACTAGGGTGAGTCTGCGGAGCAGTGATATTGAGTTTATTGTTTATTTCCAGGCTCGTACCAGTGAATCGTTTTGCACTGGGGTGAATCTGAGGAGCAGTGATATTGTGTTTATTGTTTATTTCCAGGCTCGCACCAGTGAATCGTTTCGCACTGGGGTAGGTCTGAGGAGCGGTGATATTGTGATTATTGATTATTTCCAGGCACGCACCAGTGAATCATTTCGCACTGGGGCGGGTCTGAGGTACTAGTGAGATGTGGTTGTTAACCAGATATCCGATAATGTGAACCTTGACTCTATGTGAGATGTGAACCAGTGACCTATTACAGGATGGCTAATTACATGACTTGTTTCTTGGCTAAGTATGAGTCCTTGTGAGATATAGGCTAGTTGTGTTTCTTTTCATACATAGATCGGGGTTAATATTTAATTAACCACAATTCGAGACATATGGTATATACATGAGGATTTTCTTGTTTGGATTATTTCACTCGACGTACTACGTCTCATGTTGTAGATTTTTAAGTATTACTTCCATCTAGTTGTATGACATTGTCACTTGGATGATTAGACTGATTGCTAGCTACATGATCTCGTTACCTGATCGATTTTGGATGCTTTATGTCATCATGATTTAGTAGTGTTTTCATGTTGATTTGAGGATTTCAATTGTACGATCTTTTGTTGTTTCTGTTATCGTATCGTTTTTCGCATTAGATTTTCGTTCGTTCTATTTTCTTTGTAGGGTTGAGTCTTGCCGTGTGCCATACACGCTGACGTACACCTGTTTTCTCTGGTGTACGTCAGACTTAGAGGAAGAACAGGTTCAGCTGGGAGATCGTCAGGAGC